CGTGGTGCCCTTGGTCCTGGCGCTGATGTCACAGACGGGTGGGTTCCATGTTCTGAGCACTGCGGGGTTCTGTGGCACAGGGCCCACTGGGGGAGAGGCAACATCAAATTGAGGAGCCATAGAACGGTTTTGGGGTGGAAGGGACCTAGGTGATCATCTAGCTCTGACCCCCTTGCCTTACTTATGGCGGGATGGCTTGCGCTAGACCCAGCTGTCCACAGTGTGCATGTCTCGGCTTAGAAGCTGTCCTTGAACACTTTCGGGGGTGAGGCATTTAAGTACTAAGTCCTGGTCATCAGGCCCTGGCTAAGGCCTGAACAACAGGCCTTTTGCCGAAACTGGCCACTAGATGGACCTTCAAAACAAGTGTTATGTATGGCCACTCCGTAGATGAATAATGGATTTACCTTTCCATACTTAGGAACTAAACAAGGCCACATCTGGCCTTGTTTTTTGAGTGTGGGATCACAGAGAAATCTCCTGGTTTCTCTTAGAGCCCTCCCAGGCCTTGGGATCATCACAGTAGGAGAATGAAGCCAGATGTTACTGCACTAGAAGTTTTGGTGTCTTGCCTCTTCCTCAGTATAAAAACAGGGACCTCTCACAGGCAGTCAGTAACCTCACTGCCTCTAGGGGAAGGATGGGCAGGGTTGGATGAGGATCAAGGATAAGGGTAACCTGTGATTTGTCTTTCTTCATCACTGTAGGTGGTCTTTTATAGTAATGATTAGATGCATTGCCTACCTTGTCCTTTTATAAATATTTGATAATGATTTTATGTCCTGTTTACTTATACATTTGCAATACTTTGCAGTTTCAAATTGTAATAAATGACATTTATTCTTGAAGTTGGTGTCTGTGTCTTCTGTGCTGACCCTGCTTACATGAAAAACAGGTACCCACAGCAGCTCTGGGATGCCAATATCTCAGCAGCCTCACAGTCAAGAATTCCTTCCCAATATCTCATCTAAAGCTACCCTCTGTCACTGTAAAGACACTGCCCCTTGTCCTATCAGGACCTGCCCTTGTAAGAAGGCTCTCTGCTGCTTTCTTAGGCCCCTCTTCCTGCAGGATGAGGCTGTGCAGTCCCTGGGGCAGGCAGCAGCTGAGGAATCCATTTGGGGCAGGGAGCTGGGTGTGCAGCTGCAGTGCCAGCTGCAGATTGAGCTCTGGCTGGCAGGACCAGAGGCTGTGAACTGCCCATGCTTTGCATAACAGAGGGCNGTGCTGCTGGGGGCTGAGTGGCTCGTGGCACGTTCCTACCTGGCAGGTGTCGATGCCACCCTGTGGGTAACCAGCACACAAGTTGTGGGTGTGGATCTCCCCTCCGTACCAGTCACTGCTGTTGCAGAGCTGGAGATTGATGAGCTGGACCTTGGCCTCCTGCAGGAGATCAGGTGCATCTTGAGCTGTGAGCAGAGAAAGGAATAAACAGTAAGCACCACATTGCCCATTCTCCTCTCCTGACTTGAGAAGGGCATTCTCTTTCCTAGGGTTTGGCTTTGCCTCTGCAGAGACACAGGAGGCTTTGCCTCTGCAGAGACACAGGAGCGCTGTGACCCTTCTTCCTGCCTCTGGGGAGCAAGCCAGGTCCGTCTCTCAGAGGCATATCTTCTGCAGACTGGCTTTGGTCTCTGCTGTGGGAAAGCCCAAACCCTCTCCTCAGTGGGCTGAGCTGCCCCAGGAGTTGCTCTTGGAACTCACATCTTGCAGTAGTGGCCCCCCAGCCAGCAATCCAGCAGTTTTGCAGCTCTGACACTCTCAGTCTGGCGTCGGGCACACAGGCCAGCTGGATGTAGGGGCTGCACTTGACAGGATGGTCCAATTCCAGAAGAGCAATGTCATAGCTCATGTCATTAGGGTTGTAGTACTCATGCACCAGCAACTGCTTGACACTGCGCATTTGTGCCCCATGGCCCGGCTGAGTGAACTGGGTGGCCCCAATCACCACAGACAGCAGGCTGATGTTACTGGAAAGGAGATGGAGAGTGAGATGAGAGGGAGCAGAGCCATGTGCCACAGCAGCCCAGCAGTTGCTAGACCTCTGCTTGGAAAGGCACAGAGGGAGGAGTGCTCTGGCAGGTGTGAGTGCCCTCACACATCTTGAGGGAGGCTTGAGGGAGCCTCTTGTGAGGCTGGGGTAATGTCAAGCTGGAGGCTGTTAAGAAGCCTTGGCACGAGCCCAGGCTTCTCCTGAGCACTGTGGCAGCCTGGCTGCCTGAGAGGAAAGGGGATGAGAGTAGCAGGTGGTGCTGCTGGCAGGGCACCTGCTGGTGTTGTGGAGATGTCCCCATTCCCTGCCCCTTCTTACTCAAACTTGTCGAAGCAGTGGGCTGCTGTGAGGACCCACTGTGTGCTGATGAGGGACCCTCCACACAGATGCCCTGGGTCTGGAACCCATGGGTGGTGGATGCTGACAATCCAGGGCCAGGCTCCTGGCAGGGCACCAGCACCACCCACGATGCGTGTCATGCCGGATTCATAAGCCATGTCGCCGTAGTAGTACGCCATGAGGCCATAGTCGGACACCACGGCTCGGAGTCCGCAGATCCCTCTGCAGGCAGAAAGTCATTTCCATGCTGCTTCATGGCCTGCTGTGGCTCAGGCTGAAGCTCAGCCCTCTGCCCTCCCCACAAGGCCTTGCACGCACAGCAGGCCAGGGAAGGCCATGGGGT